ACAGTTTGACGAATTTTTTAAGCTGTTATTGTGAATGCCTAGTCATCACTAGTGTTTCATAATTTTTGGTTTTCAGTCCCGTCACTAGCTGTAATCTCAAAGGAAATTAATCAGAAAATATTTCTGATCTTCGTTTTTTCAGCTGTGCACCCACGCAGTTTTGCTTGTTACCATTCAATCGTCAAAATGTTTGCAAATACCTTATCACCATGATTTGCACCTTAGCGTCTCTTATTTATAAGCAAAGCAGTGAGCATGATCGATGATGCGTCATATGACTTATTCAATAATTATCTGACAGTTTTGAGTGAAGCCATTTTGAAAGATTTAAAACTAAGGCAAAATCGAAATAGTTTTTCTCTAATACGTCTTATCATTGTGCTCTATATCATAAACATCAGTCTTTGTGGGTGTTGTTGCATAACAATTTTGAATATCACTGCTCATCTGAAGTATTTAATGATAAAATTGATAAGATAAGGAGGCAGAATTATGCACTCTCCCTCAGAGTTTTATAATCATCTTATTTTCATCATAAAGGAGAAGGAATTACGTAGCTGTATCGCTTTGTGGTTCTTCTCATGAATAGGTTCTAATTTAGTCTCATCTTTCTTCGCATCATGCTAAAAGTTCTCTATTAAGTGACATATTTCATTGCATTCGAACAACAAACTTCTTTGTTGAATTTATGATGTTCACTTAGATTATTCTATTAATCTCTAACTATATGATGTGTTCGTTCACTCAAAACTATCGCACGACAATCCATAAGATATAACTTTTATCTTGCTATGTACGGAGTAATTGCAAGCTTCATCACATTACTGCTTACTGCTCTTAACATTGCACTCAAGGATTGTGAGCACTTCCACTTTATTCTGAATCTTATTATTATTATCAGTATTATCATCAGTACTGTTATGAGAATTACTGTTATCATTATCATTGTTANAAAGGCTAAACATCTGATGTCGAGAGGTCTACATGAAGCTTTACATAATTTTTCAACCAATATAACTTGTTCGTATCAAGTACATTTGTACGATAAACATAGATTTATGAAGTCCGGTACTGTGGAATACCGGTTGACATAACGAATCGATCTATCAAATGATTTGATCAAGCCGGATAAGAAGTGCATGAACGGAGAATGGGATATATTAATCCTCGTAATCCTCCTTTCGTGATCCAACGAGCTAAAAGTTGATCCTTATATCCTTGAAAACAGGAAGAGGTTGGTTGTAATCTCTCATCATTATGATAATGCCTTGATGGTGATGACTTATGAGATAATTGTTGTTATTGCTATTGTTTTGACAATGCGAGGAGCGATAAGCTCATGCATTAGTAAAATGAGATGAATGAGCGAATGAATTCAACTGACATCGAGTGTAGTAACATATTCAACAGTAGTTACTCATTATCATTATTACTCTTTTATGACTATTGTTATTATCTTTGTTATTATCAATGCGAGTGTCATAACCATTCTCGACGCCATCGCAAATAATGTTTGCAAATAACGATTAACAATCAGATGTTTAACCACCTCAAATGTTGTTTATTGTTCAGAAAGCGGATGCTTCTGATGCTTATTCATTCCGTTATTATGTTCTGAACAATATTCATTTATGATTATTCAAAAGTGTCCGTTGCTGTGATCATCAAATGCTTCTCTATTCAACTATTATCATGGCTGATAGTAGCGCTTTCACACATTGTTGTAGCTCCTTAAATTCATTGAATAATCCATCGTTCATATGGATGGAATCTATCGCATTCCCTGAATTGGGAATCCCGAGGTGTAATTTTTTGAAGCTTTTGATAAGGATTTGTTCAAGGGGAATCCGCTGAAGTAATAAGAATCAATGAAGGATATGCAAGGTGTATGCAGTTCCCCTCACAGTCAGTGAATGATCCATTCCGAGGTTTCATAGGAGCATAAGAACAGGTGTCTTTATCTGTTTTTATCTTGTGAGGATATTATTAACGCAAATACACATTGCTAAACTAGATCAAAACATTTAATTGAAGAGATATTCGAGAGAACGGGTATTACTGATTTGGAACTGCGTTTCTATTTATCTGATCTTGAGATCAATGGTGCTGATGTTGCATAGCGCAGGATTTCGTATTTGTCCGCATTCAAAATGTATCCATCCTCAATTGAAACATTGCGATTCACGGATATCTCCCATAAGACGTCTTCATTTACACACACATACCGCGTACAACTCATATTCTTTGACAAATGTCACATGATTTTGATTGATTAAAAAATTTCTACTCACTTTTGATTACGTTGTTACTCACTTACTCACTCCTTATTTGTGCCGACTGAATACATCAGTTGATTTCTAGCGAATCAACTTGGTCATTCAGCAACTCCGGAGCAGTTAATTATTCGGTGAATAGATCTGAAATAATGCATGCCATACGGAGCACCTAACCTCATCAGCCATTTAGCAATGCGATGTAAAAAATCAGTTCAATGGGTTCTTAACCTTAGGTTATCAGCTTTGATCTCCGAACACCCGCATTTATCTCATGCTTTTACTATTAAATGAACATAATTTGCTAGGCCTATTGGTAAGTTGAACGAATCATTAGATGATGTACTCAAAAGATTTGATAAGGATAAGCATCATCAGTGCTTCCTTTTCGATCATGTTGAAAGAGATGATGACAATGAACGCGAAATTAAAGACGGAAATTATTTTATCGTAACATTTTCAAGTACTCCTCCCATTCAGTATTATACCTCATACGATTAATATCGTATGTTTTTAAGAATGAAACGAGCAAGTTATTCGTCTTATCTCACAGTACGGAACAACAAATATATCGCCGTTTCGATAAATAACTGAAATATGTCATTTNCTGATATTCATTTATTTTTAGCACTTATCAAGTTTTTAGCTGCCTTGTAGTGGAGCATTTTGTGAGCGTAAATTAATTTTTTGTTCTGAATAATGTATAGATTGGGTACATTTAAAGGAATAAACGGTATTTCTGAGTGGCGGTAATTGGGAAATAGCTGGCACGGCTGCTTGTGCTCAGCTGAAAAATACATTTCTTAGAAGCACAAGCTTGAAAGCTTGAAAATTTTTGAGCAATTTTTGCTTAACATTAATTATTTGCACGAATGGATTCATTATTTGCACGAATGAATGAATTATGAATGAATGCCGTTTGATTTTGATTCGAGGCAAGCGGAGTGCAGGTGTTTTCGATGAATAATTGCCGATTTTGTTTTTCGGCAGTCTTTCGACTGCACTCGCGGAATGAACAATCCATGAAATATTGAAACATTTCCAGTGCAAGCATCGGACAAACTGAATTTCTGCTTGCGATAGCTTTGCAGGTAATCTTTACTGTGTGCAACGTTTAGTTCGTATTATAGATGAGAATGTTGCTGGTGATTTTCGGAATTGCGGATTTTTGATTGCCAAAACAATGGAATACTTGAACCACAGTTTTATTTTCCTTGAAACCATAGTTTTTGTATGATTTTCTTCATTTGAAAGAACTGGCCTTATGCAAGAGTAGGTAGGTGCTACTTTGTTAGACTAATCTCATCATCACATTAATCAATCATCGTGGATCAAACAGGAATCCAAGCAACCTGCCTTTCGGAAGGCTCAAAAGGCGGCCAATCTGTCTTTTCATGTCTCAGACCTCATTTGAGGCACTGGTCATCACCCAAAACCCAGTTACTGACCAGTGGTCAGCGATTTGTAATATGAGCTTGACATATTGCAGTTAGGTGTTCCTTTTTGCGAATGTTTGTTGAGCGTTTGATTCGTTTGTTGATGTATTTAAAAAGTATTTCAGCTAGCCTATCTCATCTCTACCATATCGTAGTTTTATGTTGCTAAGAAGAATACCGCTTAATGCGATGACCTGTAAAATCTATAAAGGATTTATTAATATGTTGCTATATGATATATTGATGTTTGTTTATTTGTTGATCGATTTATTAATACGTTGATCTCTTAAGATATAATGTATACGAATGCTTATGAGATTCTATAGTTCAATGAACGGCTTAACTCGTTTAGGTATTTGTTCAGATTAATGGCATTTTAGCGTTCGATTTTATTGTCGACGAATTTGGACTTTTGTGGTTTTTGTATAATTGCGATTGTTTCATAAGTTTTTTTTAGTTCGTTTCCTATGAAAGTGATTGAAAGCTTAGATTCGTGAAACGCGTTCAATAAGTTTTGATCCTATTGATCAACGAATCATCCACCATCAGATTATTAATTTTCAGGATGAAGACCTCATCATACGTCTCAGGATCGCTATCAACACAATTCTTGATGCTGCCACTTATTCTCTTAAGTAGTAGTTTGTTTTGCTCAGCAGCTCCATACGACACCTACGATATATCGCCTTATGGTAGTCACAAATACGATAGGCATCCATATACGTCAGCAGTATCGCGAGAGTATAAACCAAAAATATCGAGTACGATTAATTGAATGTTCAATTTATCCACTTCATTACGTAAATTTCATCCGATACATTTAGGAAATTGTTTCTTTTCACTGGCTTAGAAAAACAAAAGGAACCATTGACAAAAACACAATTTCACCTTCAATTATGACGTTTCCGCTTGAGAATTTATGATTGTGATTAAGAATTTATGAGTACCTTCGATGATAGTGAACAAACACACGAACATCCATTCGTCAATTCGTTCCCGGTGCAAGATTTTTTCATTTGATGTGAATGAGGAAAGAAAACAACATTTTCATTCAGTTCTTCTGATCTGGAGGAAATTTTGGTAATGTGACCGAACACCTCAGAAATTCGCGATCAGTTCATGATTCGTGACGAGAAATTGAATGTTTCCGCCAAAACATTCAATTTCTCGTCATTTTCTCCATAACTCATTGCGCTTCTGAGAATAACGAGGTATGAATGGAGATGGAGAATTTGAGAGTAGATTATTGAAGAATTCGCGAATCGGTGACTAGAGTGTATCTTACCGAAAGCATATTTCAGGGATATATCACTATGATAATTTAACGGATTGTGAGGCTGCATGTGAGGTCAAATGTGAGGCAACACAAGTGATAAGGAACGACGTCGAGGAACGGCAACAGTACAGTTGCAAACAACGCAAACCACCGCTTGTGAACAGATTAGTGGATCTATCGTCGTCAGGAACAATGAGCGTTCTCGTTGTTGCGGCCGTTGTGAGTGTTTCTTTGATCGGTATTCTATTAGTAATCACTTTAATACAGCGAGATCTTGTTGAGTATCTGTGTGGATGTAAACAAATCATTAGAATATACCTAGAGATCCATAATCTGTTTATTTATCACTATCAGATTCGGCAAAAGGTTGAAAATTTCATTTTTGAGCATTTGGAAGTTGAAAAAAAAGTGAAATATCTGATTTCGTTTCAAAAATCATAAATTCACACGAATCATCACTCAGTTGATTAACTTGTCATCGAGGCACTACATTACCATCTGGTGAATGAATGCTCTGTCGTATGATCACCTCAGGTCAATCGCAGACCTAGACAAATTTTGCTTGATTATAAGAGTGGTTATGATGTGAATAGCATAATGAATCATTTACATAGCGATTGAGTGAGTGAGTCAATCGAGTCAGAGATTGTTTTCATGTGATAATTTCGTTTGCATTCAAAACGAACAATTAACTCTTTCAGCTATTCATCGGCTTAATAATGATATTGTGTTGTTGCTGTTGTCGATGCTGTCGATTATGTTGTAACGACAACAAAAAACAACGAACAGCCGCTGCCTCAGCCAAATCATCGCGAACCAACGCGCATAACTCATCGAATGATCCACTGGTAGATAACGGTGAATTTCGAGAGGTACTCGATTCGAAGGATATTGGCTATTTGAAACGAGAAGTTATTTAAAATAGCTCCAATATTGTTCTCTAAGTTATTGTCGATAAGTCACTGTAAATTCACGCATTGCTCTAAGCAGCATCACTCTCAATACAGTAAGAACTTACAGTATTCTAGGATTGTGTTTGTTCTGTTGTGCAGCAGTTCTATGATAGTATTGTATCATATACGAAAAAAATCTATTTTAAGGTTTTGTTTTGTTATTTGGTCTTTATTAAGCCATACAATTGAATGATGCTCATGTAAGATAAGCCGAGATGTTTGATTAGCTATTATTCTAGCGTTTTTTTGCATCGAATTTGCAATAGATACATTCAAAAGATTGGTCTCTATTGCGACGATTTCGCGTTGTTATCTTATCGCTTTGCACTGAGCCTTCATTCTGCTTTTGCAGAATGACATTGAACTTGCATGTGAACTCTTAAGCAGTACAACTGGCGAAAGCTTTTATCATTGTCTTATATGGAAGTATCGAATTTAATATTCCAACATGTTGTAATTATGCAATTTGCCTTGTTGCCTTGTGATGATTTTTTTTGCAAGATACGTGAGAGAAAGAATAATTTACAAGTTTCGAACATGAGATCGATTAACTCACTTTCAACGGCTCATAGTTTGATGTTCAACTCATTCGTCAGTTCTTCAAATGTCCAGAAAAAATCGCCGATTTAAAGTTCCAATAAGGGAGGATCGCTGCATTTTTGAANTCTCTCTCTCTCGCCGTTTCTGTCAGATTGAACTGCGAAAAGTTTATCGAAAATTTGTAAGATATTCGCATTTTGATAAGCTCTGAATTTTTTGTATGTTGATTTTGTGTTGTTATCGACGTATTTGCAACTGTATTTTACTCCTCAGAAAATCCGAGAACTGAAACGGTCAGCTCGAGATGGAACTTCACTCAGTGTCTGGCGGTGAAGTTATAGTTGTTGAGACGTATGAATAAGTTGCAGGAGGTGTAATTTTTATTTTCACTTCGCATTGTGATGATTGAGTTGTAATTTTCACATGATTGATTGATTAACTGTGCTCGTTTTAGTATCATGAACAAATGAGAAAAATAAACAAATTACTGAAATTCGTCGTCAATATTCATGATTTGTGGTGAATGATAATATTTGAAAGTGAACATTTGAATGGTTTTAATTAATCGATTTTAATTAATCTAACATTACACAATTTATGCTTTCACTGAAGGAGAGACGAGTGAAAACGGCTTTGGGATGGATTACTTTGGAAAATTTACCCCATTTGAATGAAACGAGAAAAGCGTCGGAAATGAGGCAACGGAAAAACATTCATTCACAAAAGTGCACCGAACTGTTTCAAAATTGATTTCATCTGAATGTCGAACAAACTTATTCGATCGCTAGGTCAAACTATTCGATATCAAAAACTACTCGGAATTTGCTCACAGACAATTTATGATTAGCACAAGTAAGCGCATTTATTGTTAGCATCGCATCTGATCAAGCATGACCGATTCAATGAAAATGATGGTTAGTGGATGCTTCGATGGATGATTGTCGCATCGTTCGTATTCGGAACGATGCTTGCATTGATCGTATTTGTGTTCGGTATCAGATATAAATCGTCTACACATACACCGGTGTACTTACAAATGAATCGAGTGAAGCCGCGAACATCCGTGAAAATACTTCCCTTCATACGGTTCAAATTATCCACTTCACCAAATTCTGAAAAGAATGTATCGTAAGGAGGCGATCTGATTACTCAAGATCCATGAGGCCATTCAACAGGATGATCATGCCGTAAATTCGTCAGTGTGTCAGAACGGTGCACAAATATCTCTATTGCATCGGTGATCATGCGTAAAGAAGATGATAGAAACATCGATCATGATTCAAGTTTTCGATGACAATTAATGAAACAGCCGCAGTTTACTGTGCTGATTGAAAGGTGTTCTAAAATACCAATTGAACACCAATACCATCTCTGTAGTCAAGTGCCATTTGTATAGACCGACAGTCAGTACCAAATGAAGCAATACCGATGACGTACCGTCGACCAGTTCGGTCGCTGAACACCATACCGGCTCCACTGTCTCCCTGAAACGTCAGAGTATGACTGAAAGCAAATTTATAAACTGAGAATCACTTGGATGGCTAATGAACTCAGTATATATCTTAGACAGGAATGAACATTAATATTCTCGAGGTTGCAATCGAATTTCGAGCAAAACTAGTTGTGATCAACGTGGTGATCGTTTCCTCCCTTAGGTTATGTGGTGCTTCTGACATGATTTTACGATATGATAAAATGAAATCGTTAAAATCGTGAGGTGCTTATGACCCGGCATATGTTCTCGTCTTGGGATTCACTTGCGCAAATGACATTGGCTGCAGCATCGGTAGGACAAGCCATTGTTGTAATGTTTATCATGCTCAGTGATGTAACGGATTTTACGCGACTTGCTGCAATATATTGAGAAAATAAACTGTAGTGCATAGTATAGATTCAGTGATAGTACAAAATTTAATTGGAAAAATTCAATGAGATGTATGTAATTAGGGTGATCGAAGTTTCTCTCAGCATCTGTAATCGTTAGTGATTCGATGTGAGATTTTTAATGGTACCAGCAGATGCGGTAATATTTTGCTTTTAGATGACACTCAATCTCACAACTTTATCATTTGTTCATCAATTCGTTTTCATTTGAACATACCATCAGAGCCCCAAGCTGCAAGCATCGCTTTGTTTGGGATTTGATACTTCATCGACGCCAAACACAGTGGTGTTGCGACAGCTGATGGAGGTACCTAAATGACAGAGCCGACTTTTTATTCCGAGAACTTACGGAATTTGAACTTACGGCTACGGCTACGGAATCTGACAAGATATAGAACTTACGGCTACGGAATTTGACAAGATATAGACCAGTGGTTCTCACTTTCGGGTGCTCCACAACCCTTTTTGGTGATCTGATAGGCTCCCGTTACTCCTCCCTCCTCAATACAAGAACTTGCTGTTTCTACGGGTACTAAACAAACGGAAAATCGATCCGGAAATTTCTGAGTGGCGTGAAAGAAATTAGTGTCCTAGACCATTGTGTTGCTCATTACTGCAATCGATTATGATCGCATGAAAAGCTATTGTCTGTGACACGCTCAGTTCGAACTGTTTTGCATGATTCTCATTCTTTTCAGACGTGTTGTATTCGCTCTCATAGCTATCACATGCGAATACCGTTCTATTGATTTGTTTTTATCATTCACTTCGTCTCAATTTCACTTCACAGTTCGAATCAACTTCTCATTCTGTAGCATATACTATTTACTGGATGCGTTGACGAGTGTTGACAGCCGAAATCAACAATACAACAATTGAATTGAACTGCTGAACAACATTCGACAGTCAAATGATCAGTTATAGAGTGTATTTTATAGAATGAGAATTTGACTTCAATTGTTGAGTGAAATGAATGAGAAATTAGCAGAAGAAAATACTTTTGAAGATAAAAGTAATGAGAGCGATTGTAACAGCAAGAAAAAGAATGAAAACCCTATTAAAGCGAATGAAAACCCTGTTAGGCCCGGACGAGATATTCAGAAAATAGGAGAATGAATGAAGAGTGTTGCCATCAACTAATCCCATTTGCACACCAGAGTTTTAAAAATTTCCCGACCTCCTCCAGTAGCCCTCGACACCTCCAAATTACACAAAATGGGTAATTTCACCCCCTATGAGAACCACTGATATAGACATTTGAAATATTTATAAATGTTGCCATTCTAAGTGGATATGGCAGTTTAAAAATATACAAAATCATTTAAATGTCTACATTCTGACACAATACTCTGGAATCAACAACGCAAAAACATTTCGAAGATAATGGCAAGTGAAAAATGCATTCAAATGGGCCTTGCTTGCTACTTTAAGCACCAAAAGCGTTAGCTTATGAATTGTCACTGCGAACAACAAATGGTTTGCTAACTTCATTAATTCGAAAAGCTCGTCAAAGTTCATTTTAGTCGAGGCATGCAAAAAACATTAGGTATTAATTAAATATGATTGATAGGTTGGAATATTTGGGCGGAATGATGATTGCAATTTGGAATATTCCATTGAGAAATGATTGTAAAACCTTTGCATCCAGCTCAACAATCGCAATATCACCTTCTCGGCATTTTGATTCGAAAAATACTCCGGTAACGATAACCTGAAAGAGATATTTAATCAGTATCATTCAAATGATCAGTGGATCATATCGAAATTGCTTGCTGAAACTCCGATCCAATCCGAATATGATATCGATTGCTTACACTTCTAATTCCGGCTACTTTTGCCTTTGTCTGACCACGTTCACATGGATCTTCAGCGAACGGAAGACATTCACCACTGTAGTAGACTGTCCATGATCCGAGCCAAGTATCGTCTTGTTTCGGCCTGAAAATCTGAATCGTTGATGATTTGCTCATCAGTGCAATTTGTACAAACTTGGTGCCCGATTTTATCGAAGTGAGATGTAGTAGGGTTCTGCTGATGTCTCATTCTTCTGATGTATCATTAGTCCGATTCTTCTGATATCTCATGCTTCGGGTAGGACAACTTAGCAAAGAGAATGATCAGCTCACGTTGTCGCCTGATTGGCACAAATTTCGGAATAGAAGCAATGTGCTGCGGTCAAAACATGTTGTTCGGAAATGAGTGTTCCACCGCAATCAGCATCGAATCCTAAAATAGGCTCTGACGTGAAATGAAATGCAATTCCATTAGTTGCTTGAAAGATTCTCGCGAATTGATCGAACCGCATTGAGCAGAACACAATGAGTTCAAAAGAGCAATATACATGGAGCATCGGGAGTGATTGTGTTCCGGTTGACAATATCTTCCAGTTCATAAATAAATCTATGATTTCACATAATATCTTGAACAAAGATATTCCGGTTGATCAGCTAATATCCACCTGGATACTCAGTATGTAGATGAACAGCCCAGGCTGCTTTGGAAATATTGATGAAGCGACCATGCATAGCCAACGGTATTGACTTCGTAGAGAATTTTTCATCAGGAAATACTGCAAATTTTTTTGGAGTTTGATATTTTCAAAATTTATCAATTGCATTGTATTGCATAAAATGGTTCTTTTAATAAAGACCTTTGAATACCACAAGTTTAGATTTCTTTCAACTGATCAGTTTCGTTTTATTTGNAATACGAATAAGTGAGTAGCATGCAAATTTGACTATCGTATCCATGAAACAACCACGAAACTTAGCAAATCACCTCCACATTGCTTCATTAGAGTTTCCATTTGTTCAAATGATAATCGTAGCGGTTCGAAAGCAGCTACAAGCGATCCAATTTGAGTGACCAGTACAATAACTCGTAGAGCATTCATCATTTTCAATTTACACTCCCCAAATTTACCTCAAAATTTTCACGCAACTAAGCAAAACGTATAGGTTGATGAGAATGTGATGTCAGTGAGACGACTTCAGTTACTGCCCAATTTTCTGGACAACGGTGAGAACATGAAAAATCGCTCTAAATATATGAAAGTAAACGATTTAATTTATGTCAACCAACCATCTGACAATTGTGATCATACTGTGGAGAGGTTAGCATGTGTATGTTTAAGAGAGAGATTCAGAATCAAAAGGTTTGATTCAGCTAATCAGCATTTTCCACTAATAATTTGAATATGAAAAAGCTTTGGTGAATTTTCGTTTCCTGTAAGAACGTTCGTTCAATGACACAAAAGTATTATAATTTCGCATCATATGAACAAATTCTATCGCTTCAGCAATATAATGTATTGTTGTGGAAGAATATCGAATCAAGAATTCTAAGCAAATGCGTTCTTAATCGTCTGAGGAATTGTATTATTTAACTGAATCACGATGTAATTCAAATAAGACAGATTTTAGAATTGAGGGCATTTTATTCATATAAGATGTGCACCTTTGAATCTGCAAAATACTATGATCACGATGCTTTCGACAAACAAAACGTTTCTCGAAGATTCACGAGTATACGAAGATACGTGCACCGACAATATACACTTTTCCACATTCAAGTCTGCCGAACTCTCAAGTTTGTCCAGTAACATATCAACCATTGTACATCAGTCGATCCAGCAGAATCTCTGCATT